AACTCCCAGGGGTTGAGATAAGAACAGTTTAGTAACTAAGGTATAACACAAATCACTGCTGCTACCACCAATAATAACAATGATAAAGGAAACAACAAGGGAAGAGAATACATCACCTCACCACCAGCTGACCGATAACTCACCCCCCCCCCAGCCTGACCAATCTCTGACTGATACCTCCTCCAACCCTGCAGTCCCCCAGCCCTTCCAGCTAACTCCCAGTTACATCCTGGGCATGACGTGCTGTGGTATGGAATACCTCTTTGGTCAGTTTGGGTCAGGTGTCCTGTCTCTGCTTCCTCCCAGCTTCCCCTCCTCCCTGGCAGAGCATGAGGCTCACAAAGTCCTTGGCCAAACCAAAACATCATTGTTATCAGCTCTGTTCCCGAGCTGAAAGTCAAAACACTGCACTGCACCAGCTACCAAGGAGGAGAAAAATGACTGCTACTTCTGAAACCAGGACAGTTTATTACTGTGATGTAAAAGACTATTGCTGGATGATCGTGGTGCCAGCCAACTGGCCTGTTTACAGTAACAGATTTTAAACACAAGTCCAGATGTGCAGCTTGCTACAAACTTTTTAAAAAATGAACAGTAAGGATGAAGAAAATCTCAATAAGCAAGTTGGGTTTTTTTGCCTCTCTTCCTTGATCCTTTAAGAACTTTTAATTAAAAAAAAAAAATAAAGCTACTATGAAGAAAAATAAAATTCACTTTTTTTTTAATTTAGAAATGACAGGAGCCTTTATCCTTTTATTTTTTAAAATACTTTGATCATGTCTGATGATCCTGATCTCTTAATATGGGTTAATTGATCGGCAGTTACCTCAAAGCACATAGTAACAGGTTTAGTCTGTCACTTAGATGAGATTTGTTTATATCATCCATTCAGAAAGTCTTGGGTTTATAGCAATTCCAGAGTAACATAAGCCTATAGTGGCAGCATATTTTTAGTTTATATGTCTACAGCTACATGAGTCTTTTACTGGAAGAAAACATCTCCAGAAAGTGCAACTTAATCAGTGTAGTTATTCTAGCAACTCTTTCTAGTGGTCTAATGATAAATGCTAGCACAGCTATTGCCTGACTGTTTATTCTGCTGCATATGGTTTATGTCAATATGTTTCAGAAAATAAAACAAGCAGAGAGTCCAGTTTTCAGTTGACTCTACAGGATGTAATTGCAACTCCATTGGAAATTATGTGTCAGTTGTTGCATTTTTCTAGCAGGCAGAACTACACGTGTTAAATATTTGGCTAGTAATACAGTTTTAAAAGACACTCTTTTTGTTTAGATTGACCACAGGTACATTTACTTAAATGAATGGGTTTACATGTACTTGTCTATTATAGAAATCACACAGTGGATGTATTTATCTATAAATTGAAGTTAGCCTCCTGTAACTGTGAGGAACATCAGCTTTTTCTGCTTTACTAGCTTTATCTTTAATCACACTTACAGAGAGCCCTTAATGGGTTGTGAGATCCTATAACTGAGGTGGTAAGGTATATGGGGCATCTTGTTGTGCTACACAATTTTGTTGCAAATTATTCTATATATTAATGCATGAAACCTTTGCTATAGTAAAGTGAGGCAAGAATTTGAGTGACTAAAGAAGGTGGATCCAGCTAATGGCTGGTTGCAAAAATAAAGCTTAAGAACCCTGAGAGCAGCTGCTTCTAGAGAATGACACTGTTATAAAATACAACCAGTATCTGAAATGTAGCAGTGAATGATTTTGTCTCGTAGTGGCTTATTGGAATTAAAATAACAATGTTTAAAAACTGCATACGTGCTTACCTTAATTCACCCTGTAAAAGCCAGGAGATACTAATCTCCATTCAGTATCTTTTATATATGTGACTGTACCCGCCGTGTCCAGATCTTCTCACCTCTCTGTGGAGATACTGAGCAATGCCACCACTTCCAGTACAGAAATATATGGAGACATTTTTTTTTACAGAGTAAGAACTGTGGTCTAGACCATTCCCAGTCAGAATAATTTCTGAAATAGGTTTTTGGCTAAGTTGTCCATTTGGTAAAGGCATAAGGTTATTTTCTCACTGAAACAGTCACCATCCGTCTGAACTTCTGCTGCAGGAACTGCTCGCAAGCTTGGTTACTTACTGTGCCCCTCACTGTATCTTTTGGCAACCGTCTGTCTCCCTCATAGGATATTTCCAATGTTAGTGCAGTATGGAGAATTTCCTGTGTCTGTGGCTATTCTTACAGTACATCAAGTAAGGTACTGCGAGAAAGGCACACATAATCCTTACGACATGCAATACTCCACATTATCTCTTCCAAGGAAATTCTGCCAACAAAGGTGCAGTAGTTGCCTTATCACACTGAGGCAAAAGTTGTGCTTCTCTCCCTTCGATCAGTACTGATTATCTGTTTATTGCAAAGCATTTGATACAAAGCCTGCATTTACTCACTGTGCCCTGTGATGCTCAGTGAATTGAAGAAACTGTGCTTTTCTGTGCTCAAAAAGCAACATGTACTGTGCTTTTGTACAGTACTGATTGTCAATAAAATGTAGTTTAGGTAAACCAAAAATACTGTCAATAAAGAACAATTTAACTAAAAGGCATATTTCTGACAAATCTTCCACAGCAGCAGAAGCAGCAGAATTGATCCAGAAAATACTGACATTATTTAAAATGCAGGTTTAATTACTTGTTTTTAATATCCAAACTCTCATGTTCAGACTTTCAAACAGTATAGCAGCATGAGCAGTAGGCATTTGTAAAGTTGTTATCAGCTGAAAGATCTGTTAAAAAACAGCTAAAAGGTTTATGCTTCTACCAAATACGCACTCCTACACACGCCAAAATCCATACGCTAAACCTAGTGTGAAAAAGGTTGCCACAGAAACCCTCCTGTGTATACTGAGTATCTTTCTGCATCATTTGTACATAGAATAGACAGAAATGTGTCTTTAACAGGCAGATTGTCCATTCCCAGGATGTAAGCAATTCCATGGGATATGATGAAATTTATTTTTAAAAATAAAGACAGAGCTAAATGCAGCATGTAATCATTTTTGATCGAGACTGGAGGAAAAATGGTCCTGTTCAATGAAATGTACAGGAAACATTTAGGAGAACAGAATTTAACTTTCAGGATTGTTAAACAAAGAGAGAAATAAAACTGTCACAAATTCTTTCATTTTTCATTAGAATTTTGAATTTCCAGCAACCTTCAGGGTGTTCATTCTGTACTTTACCAAAGTGCTATGTACACAGCTAAAGAAATCAGAAGGTTTGGGGCTTGATGTAACTCCCAGTTAGTCCAAATCCACAAATGTGCAATGTATATAGAGAAAAACTGTTCAGACAGTCTTACTTAAAGCTGCTTAACAGCTTAAAATGATAAAAAGTCCTTAACACAATTTAAGAACTTAAACCACTTAAACAGTTCAAAGCAGCTTGTGAGTTTGAAGAGTTCTGGCTGGTGTGGGAAAGGCATCCCTGCTGAGCTGCAGCCCTGGGGACAGAGCTGGCCATACAGGAGCCCTTTTGGAGCCAGACTTGGGAGGCCTGGATGTGACATGATGGAGAAGAAGGAAGAGTTTTCTACATAGTTTTATATAGTGTTGTGTATATGCCCGGATTGCTTTGCTTTTAAATAGTGTTGGAGGGGCTTTTATGTGGGTGTGAGGTGTTACCAGTGGCATCCTTGTGGTGAAACAGAGAAAAGAGTGTACTGTCTGTTGTATGGAAAACAGTTTCAGCTCATGGGCCAAGTGAAGTCTCCTCAGTAGCATTGTGAAGAAATCTTCTGCAAGAGCTGCAAGGCAAAATGTTTTGCTTTTGTGGCTCCAGGAGTTGGAGGCAGGTGGGAGGTGGCATGAGCTGGCCTTTCAGATGTTTTGAGGATTTTTTTTTTCTAAAAGATTGTTTTGGAGAGAAAGAAGTGAGGGGAGTAGAGAGGGTTGCTTCAATTTGACTGATCTCAGTGTTAGTCTGTTGGTCATATCAGAAGCATGTTGCGTTATTATGTGAAGTTATACATTATAAAATGCAAAATAAACCAGTTTGGTTTATTTCGAGACTGAGATCTAGTTTGGTCCCTGCATGGGGTGGTCAGTGGTTGAACGTGTGTGTGTGTATGCTCAGATCAAAAAAATGGTGGCACTACACAGAAGTGATACTGAGGACATAGGAAGGAGGCAGAGAATGGGAATGAATGTACAAAGGTGGATGCTGTTTCTGATGTGGGTGATTCCACCTTAAATGTTTTGAAACTTAGCCTGGTTTTCATTGATGCAGGCAGTGATTTACACCTTTCTGTGCAGAAAAGGCTGTAAACCAGGAGTGAATTACATTCTGTACCATTTGAAAATAAATGGTGCATTCACAGCCACTCAGGTTGAGGCCCATGTACACTTCCAGAGTGGTATGATGAGTAAATGAAAGTTAGGCCTGTATGTGAATGAAAAATGCCTGTTTTACCAGAGGCTGTGAAAAGAGAGAGAGAGAGGGAGAGAGAGGGAGAGAGGGAGAGAGAGAGAGAGAGAGAGAGTCAGTGGAATTTGTAAGCAAGACTTTTGTTTGTTTGAAACAGCTGTATTGATTGAGTCAGATGGAGTATTAGTGTAACTGCAAACTAATTCCACTGAATTCTGCAACGTATTTCTAGTGATGCTGATGGGGCTGGAAGTTTGTATTTATTAACTGATGGTTTCCTGTGGTCAAGTAAGTCTTTGTTTTGCACTATGTTACTGTGAAAACTTAGAATTGTAACATTTAACATGAATGTTATCTGTCTAAAAAAAAAGTCTTTGCTGGGGTGAAAAAGAGCTCGGATATAGTTAATACAGTATCAATACAATTACATTACTCCTTTGCTTTCTTTTATGATGAGAAAAGAGATATGCAGATGTTACTCAGTGAGGGTAAGTGCTTTTTGACTAATGACATAGTAATCATTTCTTGAATGAAATCTTGGGTAATGTACTACATAATACTAATACCTCAATATCGCTTGAATTTCAGAACATTTCAGGATCTGTCCAAACAAATGGATATATCTTATGGCACAGTCAGGGATTCAGCAGTGTATGAATACTTTAAAGCAAAAGGGACCAACCCTTTGGAGCAGGATAACACATTTGCTGAACTGTGGAGGACTATCAGTAAGAATAATGGAGCAGATAATTGTGTATCGAACCCTTCTGAAGGCATCAGAAAGGTAAAAGTAGATCACAGGGGGGTTAATTTAATTTTTGTGCTGTATTAATGTTGTTTGCATACCGTTAATAATGTTCAGTCACAGGAAAGCACCTGTATTGTCATTAAAACCAGAAAAAAAGGTCCCTATCTAGTCCCTTCCTTCTAGTAACCCAATGGCAGGTTAGAATCATATTTTGGGGTCATGGTTTTGAATGTAAGTACTTTAGTTCTACCTAAATCTTCAGTATGTAAGTCCTTCTTTGGATCTGGCCATAAGGTTTCTCAGTTTCTTGAGAGCTCTGATAATACCATTTTGAATGTCATTCTTTACATTATCCAGGTACTGACTCCTGTCATTTCAGTGGTTTGGTTTTTTTTTTTCTGAGGTGGTGGATTGAGCTTACTGAAACATGAGCAAGAATCAAGGGATTCACTGAACACAGAATTATTTCTCCTAGAACAAAATGTTAATGCAACATTTTCTTTGTTTATTCTAAACTTTAAAAAATGAAATCACATGTTGCTGTGCTTTCACATGCTCTTCACCATGCTTTTATTTCTCTTAGATATGACCACACACTTATTCTGTAAGCCTCCTGTCATTTATTACAGCTAGATTTGCTTAAGCCAGACATGTACCCGTAGATTGGCAGGCTTTTCAGAATACTAATTATATTATGTGTACGGGACTGGCAGCTCCATCCTATCTATGTGATAACTTTTCATATTAAGTTTGATTTCAATATTGTAGGATGATTTTTATACCAGTTGATTGGCTCATTCAATTAATGTCAACAATAACCAAATTTACTTCAGTCCCCAAAACTGACCAAGGCTGCTGTTTGATTAGACACTTGCATAAATTTGGTTGAATGTTTCATAACATTGCCAACTAAACTGTTGTGTAGTTTAAATGTTGCTCTTCATAGCTCACTGAGCTCTTTGAATGGAGACAAGTTTTTCATGTCAAGCATTATAGCTAGAAATTGTTTTTTCTAAAGGAGAATTCATGATGGCCAAGGAAATGGGACTTCCCATCCAGAAACACGTACTGCTGTATGAAAAAGAAGTAAATGTGCCTTAAAAATGTATTTTTATAAGAAATCTAAAATTTCTCTAGCATGAAAAGATCCCCAAACCATTTTTCTGAATGAGGACTTGCCTGACACAATGCAAAAAATAAAACCACCCAAACCAAACAAACAAAAAAAAGCCACTATTATCCTTTCTCCCCTCCTTCTTCTTTCCATTTTCTTCAGACAGCATCACAGCTCAGCTGCAGTTACAAAGACAGCAATGCCGCTTTAATGTAAAACAGGAGAGTGCTGCTTATTTGTGGTACAGGCAGGTATTTCAGATATTTGTCTCTATTCCATTTACCTCTCTCCATTTTCTGGAGATTTTCCTACTCCCTTTGACTGCCTAAAAACAAAAGGATAATAGTGGAACAAAGTCCTGAAAGCTTTTGTGGCATTTGGTTGCCATGGCAGAGGTCTCCAGACACAACACAGTCCCTGTAGCCACAATGACTACCTCCCATTGTCAAGGCAGAGCTTCTGAAACACTGGTAGAGCTATGGAAAGGGCATTAATGTACTGCAAAGTCACATAAGTGACAGAAGGATATTTCAGAGCTGAGGGGGCAAGTTGTTTTTGTCGTACACTCACGGCAGTTGAAAGCGGTTATTAAAGATGGAAAACATTATGCTATTCATAAACATCTCTGCATAGCATAGGAGGAGGTTACCAGACAAATCACTGCTCCATACAAAATGCTATTTTGACACTTGAGTTTTCTGAGAGGAATGAGGATTGACTAATGCTGTCATATAGAAAGTTTCTTTCTGGGTCAAGCTACAGACAGGATCCCAAAGAATCATGCAGTATGTAGCTCCTGCCATCTTATCCCAGGTGGACATTGGTACTGGAAGTGCACACATTTCTAAGCCATTTGAAAATCTCAGCAAACTCTTTGCATAATACCCACTGGCCATTGGTTCTTCAAGGCAATTACTAATTACTACAACATATGTAATAACCTGTGACTTTTTTTCACTGTGGGCAGCCATTTTTTGCTTTGAAAGAATGAAGTAATATGACCCTTATGTAATCCTATAGATATATATCTTATATATATATATATACATATAGGAGAATTAAACTGTTACAGTTGTATTTTCTAAAGGCTGTGCTTTGGTGGAGACTGTTCTCCTGTCCAATCAATTTGGTGCCAAAATTTCTCTGAATCCTTTTCTTCCTGTGTTATCACTTTTGATGGAAAGTGATCAAAATCAAGTACAGTGCAAAATGTGAACGCATCATTGATGTAGGCAATGACACAGTAAGAGTTTATTCCTTCCCTTTTTTGCTTCCTTCAAAAGATTCTGTCCCTTACTGAACTCTAAACCTTAAATCAGAGCATTTCTTATTGAACAGTCACCTCTGTTCATTTTTATCTTGAAAGTAAGAGTAATTTTAAAAGTTCAATTAATAAGATTTTTAAAACTATATTTTCCAATAATTTATTGTGCACAGCAGATTTTATATTGTGAATTATGGTTGCTCATCTATATGTTTTCAGGAGTCCTCAAAAATTTCTCTATTTCTTGACCCCTTTGGAGTAAAAGCAAATGCCTCCTTAAACCTGAATATATTACATCCTTCAGTGGCTCCTTAGTTATATTAATTTTAAAATCATTTGAACAGGATTAAATTACATGTTTTTGATTTTATTAGAACTGTGTTGCTTCTCTTAAAACAGTTCTTTATAGATAGTAAATGTTACCCAAGCAGTTTTTTAACTTCTCCACTAATCCCAATGTAAAGGTTACTTTTTGATATTTCTGTAGTACCAGCTATATATTGGGATCAGTTGCAGTGACACTGTTCTGACTGTAAATTAATCATGAAAGTTGCATTATACTGGCACTTTAGTGTGGTAGCTTCTTCATAAGTTTTAGATACATCACACATCATTGATCAATTGGAAATTCATCCTTTTTTCAAGTTATTATTTCTTACCATGCTTTCTTTGAAAAAATCCATCATTTTACCATCAATAAGTCAGGACCCTTTGAACAATATTCTTCCATCTCCTCCCATGTTGAAGAGTGACAATATGAGGTTGCTTACAGCTAAGTATTATTGTTCTTTTTGCGGTCCTTATTATATCTAGGAAGCAATTTTCCCATGCCTTCTATTTTCTATTTATGATTATGAAGAAATATATTTCATATAAGTTTTGCCTATGGGGTTCTTTTATTCTTAAATCTGCTTTCTTAAACCTCTTCAACCAAAGATAAATCTGGTGACTTTGGTGTAAATCACCATAGTAGTTCCACCTGGGTGGAATAAATGAGCTTTGCTTTGGCTGAATTTCAATTAAAGAGGTTTTTGAAAGTTTAACCATGCTATTTTTGTTTTATTCTGCAATATGCCTGCATGCTGAGAGTTCCAGTAAGGCCTTCGCAAAAGAACCAAACTTGAAAGCCAATTAAAAGTCTAAAGTTTAGCTTATTATTGTTTTATTTTGTTCTTTATTCAAGCTATCTTACCTATTCTCAGCTATTTGCCACATTCCCTTTTACCATCTTTCTCTCTGTATTATCTTCGCAATGATGTCTGATCACTAGAAAATTTTGTGGGCCCTAAAAACATACAGTGCAGGCTTTAGTTGCCTGACTTGTGAATGCAAGAGCCTCAGGATATGGATTTTTGCTGTATTGTGATTAGGACTCGGTTTCATGGGTAGGTACATCTTTGTCATATGCAACTAGGTAGCCTTGAGACAGTTGCTGCTTATACATCCCATGGGTCATTACCACATTTCATGGAATTCTTAGTCTTCCTACTGTGCATATCCCTCAGGCCTGGAAGCTAAGGGGTATGCACATGTGCACGCATGCATTTTTTCACGTGACAAAAATGAATAATTTAAACTACTTTTTAAAAGTTTTGGGTTGATTTTTGGTTGAAAGTGTCAATTTGATTTTATTTGGCTTTTGCTGCTTGCCTACTGAAGCTATAGAGAATGTAACACTATCTCAAACACACATGTATGTGTGTGGGTTGTGTGTCTTGTACATACGTTTTTCTAAGTTTGACAGATTTTCTTTAAATTGAACAGACAATACTGCTTAGCCGTCACAACAGGTATTAACAGGGATATCAAGGATGCTGAATTTATGCAGCAAATAAACACTTGGTCATAAGGAAGCCTTCCATGCAATGAACACACTAATAGTACAAGGTCTTCACTCTCCAGAGAAGAACACTGGTGAAAAAAGTTTTGGAAGAGTCAAATCTTCCCTTAGGAAAAAGGGGTATTTCAAGATTCTGGTTTCGGCAATCAAAGAGGAGAAACCGTCTTACACCCAATATTTCTGGGAGTTGAGAAGCATGCATAACTAAGAGTTCAAAACTCAGATTCCCGATTATGCTAAAATGATCAGGCTGTCAGGGAAATAATGCTCTACAGATGTGATTGCACTGGATAGAATTATTTATGTCACAAAAAATATGAAATTTTTATGAAGAGACCTGTCTGGCTTTGTGTATTAACCACTTACAGTTGTAGGATGTTACTTAGGACAGTAACACTGCAAATGCAAGAAAAGTAGATCCTTTCAAAAGATCTGATGTCCAACATTGGAAGTGTACACAGCTCTTCTATATAAACTAAAGTACAGAATGATGATGCTTGAAAAGGAAAATCAATAATGTGACCTGAAATCAGAACATCTAGACATTGACTTATAACTGAAATTGAGTATTTGAGGAAGAGTGTGTTCCTCAAATATTATCAAGAAAAAAATGAGGAATATATGAGATGGGTTTTTCTTTTCTAAATTGTAAATTTGAAAAGATCACTTACAGAGCAATTCTAAAACAACCAAAAGATACAGCTGTCTAAAAGAAACAAACAAGCAAAGAGAAAAATGCAAGACACACTTTAGCACAGTGATTTTTTCTGGGTTTTCTCTTTCTGTACATCCGTCAGGCAAGTTTTAGCTCTCTAAAAACAGGGATTTTGTATAAATTCTGTGTAGAGTATCAAGTGCTGTTGTCTTTGCCTCAATTAGTACATATTTTTAATGCACTTGGACAGTTTTCTATTGTAGGTAACAAAAGCCTATGTACTATTTACCATAAAACACAATCTGCCTGAGATGTGCAAAAATGGGACTTTTGATGGTCTTCCCCTGTCAGGAAGACCAATGGGACTGATGCCCATTGCCTGTTGCTCCTAACCAGGTAGGAGGCCCATCAGCACCACTGCAAGACGTGAAAGCATAAAATGTGAATTTTTAAAGCCCATCACAGGAAAAGCAGAGGGCAAGATTCAGAGATTTGCTGCTAACAACCCGGTTAGTTGTATGTGATCATTCAGAAAATACCTTTGTAAAGCACATTTTAGGCTTCCAAGAATGTAGGTTGCTGGCTGAATAGAGGCTAGGTGCCTTGAGGAATCACTCCCTTGCCATGCTTAACTTTTTACACATCCTTGTGTTAATAGGTTATGAGCCTTTTCTGCCTGTTGCATACAGTAAACAGTAACTTGTTTGTTCTTTCCTCCTTTGTGCCACCATTACCAGTTTAGGTAGACAGCCAGGCATAGTATTACAATGCAGATGTGGAAGTCTTGCTCTGGTCTGGTTTCATACAGTGACCTCAAAGTGAGAGATATTTTTACGAACATGCTAGTTCAGTAAGATGTGTCAGGTAAATCAAAGTATGATTTTAACAGTAGCCTTGTGGCTCCTATTTTAATAACTCCTGCAAGGCCCATACTGTAGTTTAGATTTTAATAAGGTTTTGTACTAGTATATCAACAGTTCTGTGGCTACATGTATTAATTGCTGTTACTCTGAACTCACCAGGGAGGTGACAAAGGAGAAAGCAGGGACAAGCCCACAATGGTAGCATGCCTTTAACAAAAAAATATTTTTAAAGCGGTCAGTACAGGCTCATTTAAATATTATGAAAGAAGGAGGATATAACATTTTGACTTTGGTCTAACACAGAACTGCCTTGAAGTTAGAAGGAAAGTGGGGAAAAGATGTGGATTGTGGCAAATAGCTTACAGAAAATCCAGACAATCTTTGTTTCCCTGGATTCCACCCACTAGAGAATAACTCACCCATTTGAATCATTGTGATGTTTAAACAGCTATCAGAGACTTCAGAAAGCTATGGTTTATATCAAAGCATGGTGAAGTAAATTAGCTTAATTGCTCAACTGAGGAGTCCAATATAATGCAATAACTAACGGAGTCTTACAGCCTTACAGATGAAATCAAAAACTGAGCTTACACAAAAATGGAAAATATATGGAAGGATGAGCTAATTCTGTGTCAAAGCTGCAACCACTGCCTAAGGGAGCTTATGGGAACCAAACAAATATATGCAGGACTTCAGTTCTCCACCTTGCCTTGTTCTAACCTAAAGAAAGATCTGAAATAATTTACTTGCATTAGATGTTCCAGCCCATCTGTTCCATTGTGCTCTGTATGTTCACTAGAGACTTAAAAACATACTACTTAAATATATTAGGAAACTAATGATTACTTTAACCAAATAAAATGATGACTTTGATGACTTTTTTCTTTACAGAATCCCTATCCAGGGATGTTTCTTACATCTTATGTTAAGTAAGGTGATTTACATTCATCATATGCACTACATACAGGCATTGGTTTAAGTCCCAATTAAGGCTGATATGAGTGGGTGTGTGCTAAATTAAAACAGTATTTGTCCCAAAACTGAGATAATAGGAGATGCTGATGACTGTTCTTACCTGTGGAAAAAAAAAAAGGAAGCTCAAAGCATGCCTTTTGTTAGAGGACTAACATATTTCTTGGAAGGGGCTTTTTCTTTTGTGAAGAAAGCTGTAAAGTTACAGTTTCGGTGACTGTGATGACTAGGAAGCATCTCTTAGTGCTTATGCTATACCCATGGTGTTACATGAATGTATGGAGCCAGTCACACTCCATGTCTCTTACAAAACATACATCAAATTTCATCAGCGAAGGCAATAGCTTTAATTTATTTTTAATATCCTGTTATGTAAACCTTGCCTACAATTACAATTGGCTATGTTATCCTATGTATTCCTATTAAAAATGGAATACATTTTAATGAGATTGGACTAGATGAGGTACTGCTGGGAGCAAAGAGTATTAGAAATGTACCAAGATGAATAAACTCTGACCTAATGGAATACTACCATAGAGTAATGACAAGCTCAGGGTTTGTTTGCTTGCATGGGTTTTGTCTTACCTAGAAATGTAATTTGGTTTAGATCATGTTGTGCTCATGCTGTATTTACAGGCAAAGAAAGGAAACTATGCTTTCCTGTGGGACGTGACAGTGGTAGAATATGCTGCGCTGACGGATGATGAATGCTCTGTGACAGTCATTGGAAACAGCATCAGCAGCAAAGGATATGGGATAGCACTCCAGCATGGAAGCCCCTACAGAGATCTTTTCTCCCAGAGGTAAAACAAAACAAATCTCATTTTATAGGACTTCTCTCTAAAATTAGCAACCATTTATGATTCATGTTAATTTTGGCAATTACTGAATAAAGGACCATAAATAAGGGACAGCAGACACGTTATAAATTAAGGCTTCAACAAAGCTGCTACTTCTGCTCCACATGCACCAGTCTAGAGAGGAGGGGACTGGGGGTGGTGGTGGCCTCACACCTCCAGGCAGCGCTGCCTCTGGCAGAAAAAGGGCTGATGTCCTCACAGCTTTGTATGGTAAGAGATTGAGGAGAGATCTTTGATTCATGCTACGTTTTGATGGCTGTGAAGCAATATGTTGCTCCCTACAAGTAAGCAAGTAATAATGCCCTGGCTTATACTTTAGTGTTGGGAGAGAGGCTGAAGATTCACAACAGTGCAGGAAAACAAGAATTTTTGGGTATCACATGGGACTGTGAGACTATGAGACTATAAAACTGTGCCATTTATTGATCTTTGAGCTACCAGCTAGGAGTATCTTTTCCATGTGGATGCATACACTGAAATGGAGACATGCATTTTTGCAGGCATGTGTGGTCTCAGCAGAAGGTGAGCGGGTGCTCTGTTCCAGGCAGGGAGCTGAAGCAAGATTTCCTTTTCCTCCTTGTTTGTAAAGAGGAGTAAAACTCCAGCTGCATAACCAGAGACAAAGCTGCCTCAAGAGAAAAGATTGTTAGTAAACAGCTAAACGAGTTACCAAACTAAATCCAAAATGAATCATTCATGGAGAGAAGGGACACTTCACAAGAGACAAAACAATGATTAATTAGCAACTGTTAACACAGTAATTCAGGCATTAAATAACAGCATTGAAGTAAAATCTTTTGCATAAACTACATTTGCTGAAGTAAATGAGTTGGTTGCTGCTTAAACAGATTTGTATTAAGTGGCACAGAAATAGTAGCATGCTTAGTCTCACATGATTTTGAAATTACTGTGGGAGAGCAGCAGTAGAGTGGATTGAGCATGTCACTAGTGGGACTAGCTGTTGCAGCTGAATGTAGCCAGACCAGACACGACTAACTGGAATATGGTAATTTCCCTTAGAAATGCTTTTTTCATTACAGTGGAATTTTTTACAGTCTCTTCTTTTTCTAAAGTTACCTGGTGGAGTTCACCTGCTGCTGTGAGGAGAAAGAACTCGTGGTATAACAGAGTTTCAAATGAATACTACTACACAGTGGTGGTCCTGGGATGCAGTTTTGAATTGTGGGATGGTAGATTTAAAATATACATGTCATACAGAAAAGACAAAAACCCAGAAAGTATCAATGAAAATAATACTTATATTTTGACATTTTTTGCAGGATCCTAGAGTTGCAAGAAAGCGGAGATTTGGATGTTCTTAAACAGAAATGGTGGCCACGGATGGGACGTTGTGACCTGAATAGTCATGCCAATGCACAGACAGATGGGAAGGCACTCAAGCTTCACAGTTTTGCAGGAGTTTTCTGCATTTTAGCAATAGGCCTCCTTCTTGCATGCTTGGTGGCAGCATTGGAATTGTGGTGGAACAGCAACCGTTGTCATCAAGAAACACCGAAAGAGGTCCATAACTTTTATTCTTATCACAATTAAAAGTAGAAAACATGAAAGAGAGTGAAAGTTGTGGGATTTTAGGTGCTCTCATACAATAAATTTGATTTATTTTGATTCGCTGTACTAAGCTTTGCATATAACTTTTTGGGTGGTTGTTTCTAAACAAATAAAGAAAGCAAAACACGTCTTTTGTGCACATAGAAGGTGCCAGACTGACAGCCCTGGATACTAAAGTCCTCTATTTATTTATAGAGCAGATACAGCATGGGCAGCAGCAGTGCTAAGTTCCACACTGCCCCACCAATGTGCCTCAACCCTGACCTGGAGAGACCACCTTTAGGGATAAGAGAGTAGTTCAGAAACATACCCTCGGCCTCTCTTCTGTGAGTGATGGGGAGGCCAATGATGGGCATCCAGTTGTGCCATCTGTGGTAATATTTTCTCTGATCTGAGACCCCATCCATCGGCTGTGAGAACCATATCCATCCTGTGCCGGCTGTGCAGCTGCCAGCCAGCTGGTAGCTGTTTTCCTTCACGGCTGACCTAGGCTGAGTTTGAAGAGATAGATGAGCCATTAAAAATAAGCCAGCTAGTTATTAACTGAATAAGCCATATTGCCATGAAACTGTTTCTTCCTTTGAAATCAGTTTTACTTCTAAAAGTAGCAGTCTCTCAGTAAATGGACCTTTATATGGTATATTTCACCTAGGAAAATACATCTGAATTTCTTGGGTTTGAAGTTTTCATGCACAGCAATGAGTAATATTTAGCAATGCTATGATGGAATCAGTCCACACTCAAATCCGTCTTGCATGAAACCCGTATTTGTTTACATAGATTAAATGTTTAACAAACTAACCTCTTGTAATCTTGGAGGCACTGAGGCATTTGTAGATGCTTTCATGTTGGAACAGATGTTTGTTACAAGCAAGTAATAGCAGTGAGCTGCACTACAGCTGGAATATAGTACATAGCCCATCAATGCCAATCTGTGTTTCTCAAGTTGCCAGGAGTACTGCACTAATTGACATACCTATCACCTGTAAGCAATTGTGGCAAATGGGATCTGAAGATACATGCTGCAATCTGTAATGTTGTGAAATATTTTTCAGTAAGGTTCCATTCTTCTGAGTTCCTGCTTCTCCCATTTGAATCCATCCATCAAGTGCTCAGTGATAAACATCTGTACCATGTTTGTGGGACAAAGCTGCAAGTCACTTGCCTGTGGCTCTGAAATACACAATAGTGAAAGGGAAATTTTGGTAAAAGGAAGCATATCTGCTTTGCAAAATGCAGCACTCTAAAAGCAGGCACAGGGAGAGCACCAGTAGGTACTCTTATTTATAAAGAAGCTTTCATATGAACAGAAGTGCATATTTAATTGCTTTTTGGTTAAATACTGTAGCTATTTTTCCCTGCTGTCTTGTAGAAGTCACTTCTGCTGTAACCCAAAGGCCCCACGCCATGTTAGCATTGCTAAGACGCAAACGCTTGCAGTAGTCGGTTCACTGCCCACTGTGAAAGCCAGGCAGAGCAAGGGGCAGGGATGTTGTCTGAAGTATCCTCATGCTGTGTGTGCACAAGTATTTGTTTTGCCAGTTTTGCAGTGCATTCCCCTCTCTATGCTCAGGGACTTGTCTTTGTGTGACTTTGTAGAGTGAGATGAGAATATGCCCCAAAGGCAGTTTCATATAGGTAAGGCAAAATAATTCACTCCTTTACTGCAAGGCGCTTTAAACAGTTTCCATCTCCAAGAGTCTTACTGACTTTAAATATTTTCTTTTTGCCCATACCCTTAATTTATCTTTTTATAACTGTAAGAAGGATTATTACATATCTCCGCCTACCCCATCCCATCTTTTCTCCCCTTCCTGTACCTCTTCTATTCCTTCACTTTCCCTCCAATGCATTCTTGATCTGGGTTGCTCTGTACAACCTCTTTTGCTGTTTCTATGACAAACAATAGAAAACTTTTAAGCATCAATTTTTTAAAGTATACTAAAGCTACTCAGCCGGTAAAGCTGTACTTGGGAAGATGACCTGGCAAGGGAGCTGGGTCTGCCCTTAGAGCACAGCCAGCCTGGGTTAAGGGCGGCAAATTAAAGTTAGTGCACATGAGCAGGCTCAGGAAAGGTCAATGATGGGGGTACTACTGAAAGAGGGAACAGAGTCAATGGGCGCCCCGGCACAAGCAGGTGTTGAGGTTGAACGAGAAAGTGTGTGTTCCCGAGGACAGGGCACAGGGACGAGAACTCACAGGCCAAGCCATCAGGAGGTTATGTGAAGCCAGCAGGATGGAACATAATGAGGGGTCCCCGAAAAGGACAGCTGGGTGCAATGCAAAGCTAGAAGCACTTTTGGATCAGGTCAGAGCAGCCACAGGGATGGGTAGCTGCTGCCCAGACCCATCGATGTGCAGTTTTCAGAGGTCTTCTGCTTAAATGTGACACACAGGTGTTGTTGTTAACAATCTAAACTCTCTTTCCACCCGGTTCCGCTGCGGATTGGGTCGTGCAACACATTAACCCCAACCCGAGCTCAAACCGCACACCAGAGGTTGCTCCAGCTGCAGCAGCCAGGCCCGTGTCCCCTCCCGGCGGCGGCGGCCCCGGCCCCGGCCCCGGCCCCGGCCCCTCTGTTCGGGCCGGGCGGCAGCCGGACGCACCAGCCGCCGGTCGCGCGCCGCTTTCTGATTGGCCCGAGCGGCCGGGACCCCAGTAAAGCAGTAGCGAGTACGTGACTACCGCGCCGGCGGTTAATGGCTGCCCGCCCCACCGGGTGGCGCCGCGGGGATGAGAGCACGGGGCCTGGCCGCCGCGAGCAGAACATCCTCTGGGGTAAATCGGCAACTGAACGTAGCAGGTGTTTTGTCGGTAGATCAGCGGTCAGAGGCATTTTACTTATGTGGCATTAGGGGAGGGATTGAAGCGGGATTGCTGCTGGCTGCTGTGATTAAGATAGGAAACAAAGTTTCAGATGGTGTAAACTGGTTGGTGTGAATTGGTTGAAGACTTTAAACGTATTTAGGAGAACCAGGTTTCAAAACTTAAGAGAGGGCAGGATCCAGGGAGGAGGAGAGCCTTGAATCTCTGAGGACTCCCCTGATTGAATCAGGAGCCGTGGCTGAGTATTGTTTAGGGGACTGAAAGCAAAGCCAAGATTTGATCTCCAAGCTTTTATCTCCAAGAGGAGTGGTTTTGGTTATCTTGCTTCTGTCTCTTGGTATTACCCAGCTTTTCTACAGCAGTAGCTGTAGTAAGCCAGTTACCGCATGCATAACATATACAAAACACTAAAACCTACCTGTTAGCTGCATCTGATACTGCAGACATGTCAGTTAGTTCAGTAAGAGCTGCAAACTTCAGGTCATGCTTTTGATTTTCTTCTGCTTTTGGGAAGTCTTTGGCAAAACATGAGTGTTATGGTACCACCTAAAAACTGTGGGAACTGGATTGTCTCCCAGTCTTTGTGTTCTTCTAGGAAGTGCAGACCTTGTGGAGGGTCACAGGAGGGACTGCTTCTCTTGCAGCCTAGGATTAGACTTTGGTGTCATCTCATGATGCAAAGGACAAGGAGCTAGTATTTGGCTTCTGTGATCCTTACCCTGTTAGGAGCTTTATAAATCCATTATACAAAATTACAGTGGATTCAGGATTGAATGAGGACTTGTCATTAGTTGTAGAGCCCAAGTTTAATGTTTTCTATTTGGCTTGACCCAGTTGGATAGGCTGTATCATGCCAACAATTGACAGTATATTGAGGTGTTAAAAGACTCAGATGATGGTATAAGTCACAACATTTAATTACTATAAGCATGAAAAATGTCGTATCAACTATATAACTGGGAGGAACAGAAAGCCTGTTCTTTGAAACCTGATAAACATAACTTGAACTTTGGCATTAGAGACTTGATAGGAAGAGTTAATCCAGATGGAGACTAGTTCCAACTGGAGTATTTTTACATTGTTCGCATAAGAAGAAAATCTGCCCTGCTCAATTAAAAAATATTAGTTTCTACCTCCAGGAAAGATAGACTTCCTTTACTTTCCCCAAAACATGGTTGCCATTGATTCACAATTCTATCATGCAGGCAATGGTGAAATTTCTTGCTAAGAGAGTGAAGGCTGGGTTGGTTTTCTTTTTCAAGATGTTACTGAAGATATGTTTATTCTGTTTGAAGCAGAATTGTAAAAATGTTGCTAATGAGTTATGTTCTAAATATCTTACTGTTAATCCCTTTTAATTCTTCATTTAATCCTTGTCAGATCAGATTAACAAAAAAAAAGATTAGCTACAACACCAGGAAAAAATGTACAGCTGCAGTGCTGTACCACATTTTTCTATTAGGGCTCAAGTTTGTAATCTCGTAAACTTGGAAAGAGATCTAGTAATGTTTAAATGTCCTTATTATTTTATAATTCAGGAAAATTTAAATTTGGTCATCTTTCCAAATCAGATTTTCTAGAATCTGTAATCATCCTCTCCTAATTGTTATTAATACCTAGCCATCCTATACCCTATACAGTGAAATTTAGCCAGCTCATACATCTATCCCTGTGTGTTAAAATCTGGAATTTACACAGCTGCTACTCAGCCTGCGATAGTGATACCTAATCTGTAGACTTTGATAAGGCTCAGAGATTTTGGGAGTTGTAAAATAAAAAAATGAAAGTTAGTATTTATTCTGGAATTTCTGTTCAGTCACTCTGTGTCCCTTTTAAATAACTGAGAAATCGGATAAAGTTACTGAAACCTTGCCTGATAGAAATGTTAAGCTTTAAATAATTATCTCTAGATTTCTGTATCTTTTGATATGAGTCCTACGCATTTATTTCATGACATCAGTAAACTATAATATAATTTGGATCATTTAGCTTCCAAGGTCTTTGCCACATCATCAGGGTTTTAGTGCCTTTTATTCCATTTGACAGACTGAATGACAGTTTTTAAATCTTCATTGTCAATATGAGCAAGTGTTGCTGCTTATTGCAGCGGAGTCCCCAGCATCC